GCGGGGGGGGGGGGGGGGGGGGGGGGGGGGGGGGGTGGGGAAACTTGGAATTTTTCCAGCCCATTTAAATATCTCTCTGTGTTGCTCGAAGTGCTCTCTTTTAAGGAGAAGTTGGGAAATATTCGCTTTTTTGCTAAGTCACCCCGAGAGTAAAAGCCCCGGGAATATTTTTTTGAACTGCTAGAGGGCTGCTTTCCAGGCAATGGGATATTGTCAAAGTCTCTGATCTCGTCCTGGCTGAGCATGTTCGTAGCAGCAGCATAAATCAGTTTCTTCTCTCTTGAATTTCAGCAATTCCCCAGCGATCAAGGAAAAAGAGGTGTCCCTATACCAAATACCAGATAAGAGAACTGGAACGGGAGTTTTTCTTCAACGTGTACATAAACAAAGAGAAAAGACTGCAGTTGTCCAGAATGCTCAACCTCACTGACCGGCAAGTTAAAATCTGGTTCCAGAATCGAAGGATGAAAGAAAAGAAACTGAACAGAGATCGACTCCAATATTTCACTGGGAATCCCCTGTTTTGAAAAAAAAAAAGAAAAAAAAGGAAAGAAAAGAAAGGAAAAAAAATTTTTAAAAAGAGAGAGAGCCAGAGAAAAGGAAGAAAGAAGAAAAACAAAGAATATCTCGGTCTCTCTGACCTGCCATCTGAATGCAAAAGTAAATTGGTTTACATGACACATCCACCCTGCGGAACTCAAAGTTTCATTTTCATGTGCAACTCCACACACTGAATGGCCACTGGAGATTTCGGGGCTTGGCGGAGCAGATTCCTGATAAGGGGAAACTAGGGTAAATCCAACTGTCCACTCTCAAGTGTTTCTCGCCAAAGGTGCTTTTTTTCCTCTCCCACAGTACCAGCAATGGACCTGCAGTGTGTCTGGTAGTTTTTGCTTACAATTCATTGAGTTCGGGGGGGCTCTGTTGTTGCTTTTGAGCTAGGGTAACACTTTCCTCCCTTTAAGTGAATGCGGTTTATTTAAGAGATGGTAAATGTACGTTCGCTATATATAAAATATATATATATGTTTCTATTGTCATCCAAAAGCATGGGCCACTGTCTTTTTCATGTGAATAAATGGTTTCTAGTAAAGTTAAGGTTATAACTTCCGTGGACTGTATGGATTTCCATCTCCGAAGGATCCTAGCGTTTCCCGGGCTAGAGCCAAGTTCAGTTCAATAATAACGGGAGGAAGCCTAGTCGGGTTATTTTAAATGCCTTTTAAATAAGTAACAGTTTAGACGTCTAACTCTCCCTTTGTAGGTATGCGCAACCTTCCCTGTTCGCTGCGAGGCAGAGCCAACATGGCTGTCTGCAGACCATCACTTCTGATGGTGCTGCAATTCCTATAAACGACGAAAAAGGCTTTTTTTTTTTTTTTTTTTAAGCCGGTCAGGCTCCCAACAAGCCCCGAATCCCCAACGCCAATGACTGTTTACTTGTTAGTGAAGAGCAAGGCAGAAAGACCGAGGGCTCAGAGCGACTCAGACAAGAGGGAGCTATAAACAATTGGCACTGGCGCGGGGGGGGGGGCAAAAAAAAAAAAAAAAAGAAAGAAAAAGCTTTGGAGGCGGAGGGGTGGATCTCTTAAATGCCATTCCTCGGCAGGGCGAGCGGAGCGGGGCGCTCGGCCGGGAGCGCAGCCCGCTGCCCCGGCCGCGGCGGGCCCTGCGCGGGGGCAGGCATCCGGCGGAGGTCCGCTCCGCTCCTCGCCGCTTTATCTTGCGTGACCTGGCTGGGCTGTTTACAAAACCTTGAACTGTCTAGACAACACCATAAAACCCGAGGTTCTAAACAGCTTAATTGGGTTATATTATACACCTTCTGGTGGGTGAAAAAGAGATTTCCGCAATGTGCAATAAAGGCGAGGAGTGAGAAAAGAATTTGCCTTTTTTGAATGGGACGAAGCGGCTCTCGCTAACGCTCGCACGCGGGGAAGGCAAAAGTGCCCAAATAAGTCAGGAAAAGCCCGAGAATTCAAAAAAGGGAGACTTGGAAGCGGAGGGAGGCATGACTAAAAAAAAATTTTTAAACCCTTTAGCAAGAAAAACATAAGTGTATGCCTTTGAACTTCCAAAATGTCAAGGTCATCACCTTTAACCTTTCTGAATAATTAGGCGCCTTAAGGTTCCTCTGTTATTTTCAACCACCACCCACTCTCTCTCTCTCTCTGTCTCCCTCCCTCCCTCCCTCGCTCCCTCCCTCTCTCACACACACGCACAACCACACACACACTTATTACCGCATAGCTGGCCGTATTAGCAAATGCATCATAACGCAAAGAAAACCCCAGCTGGGTCGAGGTGAGCTCTCCGCGGCGTGCGGGGAGCGTGCCCCGCTCCGGTCCCCGCCAGCTGGAGCATGGCGGGCTCCCCGCTTCCCTCGCCTTTCCCTTCCGCGCCCCGGGAATTCGCCCCAAATCTCCCCCTTTTTAGCTCTAAAAAAAATAATAATAATGTTTTTTCGCTCAAAAAACCCGCGTGGGCTGTAGGAAATGCTTCGTAATTTAGGGAGAAAGATGGTCTTTCTATGCAGATTTTCTGCGGATGTGCCTTTCCCCACAAAGCCCATTAATTAGAAATGCGCAAAGTCGCGGGGAATTTCTCAAATCATTTCGCCTGACCTGATGGCAAAATTCTCGCGTCTCTCCCGAGCCTTAATCCACAGGGCGAGAGCGAGTCGTTTGATTTTTCTGTTCCCTGCAGTGCTTTAACAGTCTATCTTAGCGGCTTAATACGCCTTTAAAATGCTAAGACACCGCAAAAGAGGGCCGCGGAAACCGAACCCCCCTCGCATTAGTCTTGCATAAATGCTCGCTGATAGCAGTTTTAAGTTTCTATTTAAAAAGAAAGGAAGAAACCCATGGCTGAGAGCAAATTGAGCTGAGGAGAAAGACCTGGGAGAGGAGGAAATTCCCCGGCGCGTGGCGGCCCACGGCCACAGGAGGGCGCGCCCATGCGCTGCAATGCCCGCCGCCCTCCTGGCGTTCCAGCCTCTTTTCCACCCTAATAATAATTCCACCGCTAATAAAATATCTAATATATAAGTAACGATAAGATTTCAGGGCCTTCCAAATGAGAAAATAAAGCATCAAAAAGATTTATTAAACAAATAACCCATCACCGTGACGTGCTGGAGAAATATGCCACTTTAAAAGAATTTTTTGGGGGGGTGGGGGGGTGGGTGTCGTAATCTTTTATAATGCATAGGAGCTTTAAAAAAAAATCCCATATTTTAAGAAATAATAATAAAAAAACCCCAGTGATATTCGGAATTCGTTCCCTAGAACGAAAATCTATTTAATCCTGTAAGGGCAGCCTTAACGCGGATGGAACAAAAGTAATATAAAAACCATGCGTTTCCACAGTTTATCTTCGATTGCTATTCGAGGCTTTTCTTAAATAAACCTCTAGGCACAGAAAGCACAATTTTAAAAACATATTTTACTTAAAAGCGAGCTTAACGTTAGATCCCGAGACCGCTTATTTTTTAAAAGACAGAGAGACTGAAGCGAGAAGAAGATATTTTTAATATCCGAACATCACCTTGCCAAGGCATTGCTGAATGAAATCCCTCTCCTTAAAAATGCTATGGAGATCTATTAAAATGAAACTAGAGATTAGAAAATTAAAGTGAAGCTTATGAATTTCCTGGACGCTCTCCAGTGACCGAGCACGTTCCGTTTTTCTGGTTTTCTGTTTTATTTTTTCCCTCCAGTGCGTACTTTTGGTCAGAATCTGAGGAAAGAAAGGGTTTCGCTGCTTTCTGCTTATTTGCAGAATTCATCGAGATGTATTTTGCGTTGCCTCAGCCATATTCCGCATTTTTTAAAGCCCCGTCTCTCGTGAAAGCATTTGTTGGCACTTTGTCTGTTGGGTTGTTGAGGTTGTTTTTTTCAGAAGTTCATTGTTAACACTTTCCTAGAAATAGCCTTTCCGTCGGTAATAAAATGGCATCGTACAATCTGAAATCCTTGGGATCCCTGACGCCAAAGGTAGCCCTTGCAGGCGCAGCCGGATCCCAAAGGAAAATCTCCTGGTCTCTCGGTGGAGATACCCATTTCGAGAGGGAAACGTTTAGCGAAGTTTTTGTGTTTGTTTGTTTTTCTTGGCGTGAGAGTGCTCCTTGTGAGAGCCCACAGCAACCCCAGACCCATTAGGCTTCATACGAGGTGCTTTAACCCCTCGCAATTACAGTGAGGCCGATCTCAGCGAATGCGAACGAGTGATGGGAGCCAGGATGTGTTGTTAATTAAAAAAAAAAAAAAATTATATATCATATATGTGTGTGTATGTACCGGAATATGGAAACGCCGCTTTCTTCTTTTTTGAATCATCGTGTAAATGTGATGATTCTGTGCGAGTCCATAACCTCTTCTGTTCTTTTTTTTTTTTTTTTACCCCTTTCTCTGTTTTATTCCTTTAGACAGAAAAGGCTGTGACCTGTTTCCAAATGTCTTTGGGCTTGTCCTTTAAGGAGAACGAATAGGGCATTTGCTTATTTTCTGATTAAACTACAAATGCGGCAGGAATCTGCCGAAAGATAAACGTGCAGCCCAAATACAGAGGCTGAGGGCTGCATCGGCGACCAATCTACACGCTAAAATCTCATCATACCAGATATGCGCTTCTGTGCTCACAGAAATATAGAAATACAATAGAGGAAGGGCTGAGGCTCCGGGCGAGGCTGGGAGTACAGTCGGTGCTACCGTGCGATCCCCAGGCTCAGAAATAACACCTTTGAAGAAATGGCCAGCGTGCTATTTTGTTTATTTTATAAGCTTTCATATTTAGGAAAAGGCATAATGTCATCAGTATGTTCCTTCCCCCCCCCCCCGCCCCCTCTGCCCTCGGTCAAAAAAAAGGCAGGGAATCTGAGCCCTCAGCCCAGACGCCGACTCTTTCTATGAAAATATGGCACATAGAAATCTGGGCAACATGACAGTTGCATTATTAAAAGAAGAAAGGACACAATATCGTAGTCAATTTTTTTTTGCCTTAAATAAAAACTATTCTTCAATCTCCCTGCAATATAACAGCGTGGCATAAAATATACAATCCGCGCGTTTAAAGACACCCTAAATAAAACTCTGAAATCGAGTAAATGAACGGAATTTTACTAAAAGCTTCCTGGGTCCCAGCCTGTTTTTAAAACAAGATAGTTCTCGCAATACCTTTGTTACTGAAGGCATCTGCAAAATATCTAGCCTCTTTCGTACCTCTCTCCCATCCCCCTCCCATAATGAGACACAAACACAGCAAATTGCAACTATGAGAATCCTCAGCACAGCCGAGACAAAAAATAATCATATCACCAGTAATAAGGTTTAGGAAGATAAGGCAGTGAAAATTAAGCCCTGCTGCCACGTCTGGTAACCTCAAGTTTTTAGCCCTGACATTTGCTAGAGGAGAAAACTGTAATGTCCACCTATGCTTTATTACAAACAGTAATTTACATCTGCATGGACCCATTGGTTGGGTTTTTTT